ATGGGATGGAAAATCTAATACGCTATCTCCAGTTGTTAAATAAACCTGTTATTTTTTTCACTGAATTGAAAAGCTACCTATGTTCAATTCTATTCTTTCTCTGTTCTGTTCCATGTATCTATTTATTCTATCAACAAATACACTATTCTGGTGCCAACACTGTATCATTTTTATTGGCATCATAATTTTATAGTGAGCTTCAACATTTGGTCAGGCAACTCCTCCCACTGCTCTTGCAAAAAACATCATAGAGCTATTCTTTAACTTCCTTACAACACTGAGGGAATATATAATTCATATACCATAAAATCTATCCTTTGAAAATAAAACTCAGTTGTTTTTGGTATATTCACAAAGTTGTGCAACCATTACTGCTTTCTACTTCGGCAGAATTCCCATCGCCTTTGAAAGGGGCCCTGCACCCATTAGCAGTCCTACCCACACCTCCCACCACTAATCTACAACTACTAATCTACTTTTTGCCTGTATGGACTTGCTTATCCTGGACATTTCATATAAATAGAATCACACAATATGTAGCTTCTTATCTCTGACTCCTTTCACTTGGCATAGTGTGATCAAGGTTTGTCCATGCTGTAGCATGTGTCAGTACTTCACTCCTTTTTAAGGCTGAATAATATTCCACTGCATGATTATGGTACACTTGGATCCCATTGGATAATGGAGACATTTGAATCCAGTCCACTCTAAAAATTTCACAGGGAATCAGAGAGGAATTGTTACACTTTTTAATTTGGAAGGACTTAGATTCTTGTCTGTCTTTTTGTTCATGTCTTATTTTGGCCTTTGAAAAGATTTTGTAATTTTTTTCCACACTGAACCTATAATTTTCTTTTGAAATTTATTCTTGGGAATTGTATAATTTTTGTTGAAACTATGAATAATGGATTTTTCCATTTCCACCTCTAATTAGTCAGCATGGAGTAAAACTATTGATTTTTTGTGTAAACTATTAATTTGTGTCCTGTCACTTCTGAAATTTCTATTTTAATCCCAGTAAGCTGTTTTAGGAGGTTCTCTGGGGATTTTCCTGGTATGTGATCACATCATCTGCAAATAAGATAATTCCTTCTCTTTTCCAATATTAGATGATTTTATTTTCTTGCCTTATTATATCGAATACTACAAAGTATTACTGAATGATGGTGATGGTGGGGGTATTCTTGACTTGCATTTTGACAGAACGTGATTTCAGTCCTTTATCACCAAATTAATATATTTGGTATTCATTTTTTTCTTCTTTGGGACTTTTATCATATTTAAATAGTTTGCGTTATTCTTTTAAACTTTTCAATTAACAGACTTTTTATTTCTTTAACCTTGGGATGAGGAAGACATTTCAAAGCAAGATAGGAAACCTAGAAACCACAAACAACAGACATACTTGACATCACAAAAATAAAAACATACTGTTTTTGACTGACAAAATAGATTTGAATGGCAAAGTACTGAATAATATAAGCAAAGATGGAAGTCCAACAAGGTGTTAAGTCAAGGGAAGTCTTTATACCCATTAACTATCCCTAACATAAGAAACATCTACAAATCAATAAGAAAATACACAGTTTAGTGAAAAATGAGCAGAGCCAGTTTTTAAAAGAGGAAACTTAAATAATCAATAAAAATAAAGGTGAAGAGATACTCAAAAGTACAAATGAATATAGTAGAAAGCTTCCATCTAGTATACTGGTCAAAATGATAAACACCAATAACATTAATGGCAGGCAAGGATGCAGGTATAAATTATGGTAACATTTTGGAATATAATTTGGGAATGTCTGGAAATTTAGAACACTTAACCCCATTTTAAGAAAGCCCCTGGAAACGAAAGCATCATATCCATACAAGGATATTACAGTATTGCTTGCAGTGGTGAAAAGCCAGAAACAATTTGAATGTTCATTAGTAGGTGAATAATTGAATCACAATCCACAATATGATGGGATTTTATTTGGCTACTAAAAATATAAAGCATAAACTTTGTTGACATGGAGGGGTGCTTATATTATTCTAAGTGCAAAAAGCAACTTGTAGAATAATAGGTAAGAAAGTATTTTTATTGTTAAAACAAAAGCAAGAAAACCCCTATATCACGTATAATGTTTGTAGAACAGGGAAAAAGGAGTTTGGAGATGATAGCAAGCAAAACAGATTTCAATTTTTGAAATTAAATTGTTTAACTTGTTGAACTATAGCATGTGTTCTTATGTAGTTAAAAATGAACAAAGAAAACATAAAGGAAGAAGGAAAGGAACGTATCTCAGAGACATCAATAAATTTCAACTGTTCTGTGGATTGAAAAGTTCATGGCTTCTAGTATTGATTAGCCTTCCTCTTCTAACAGGACATGAGAAAGAAAACAGGGTGGGCTGGGGTGGGGGAGAAGCTGGAGCTGAGAGGACAGCTGAGAGGGCAAAGAGTGAGAGAGGTAGGTGGGAATGAAGGAACGGGTGCAGAGAGAAGATAAGAGGGGAGCTGCTGTCAGGATGAGGAGGGACTGTGGGCAGGGCGGGGATGCTGGCCCTGGGTCTCTAGAGGCAGGGGCTTGGGAGGAAAGTAACTTCACCAGGGTGGGTTTTTTTTTTAAACAGCTTCCCAGTGTCCCCTGGGGCTATCCAATGGATGCCTGGCCCAGGAGAGCCTGCAGGCATTAGCAGAAATCTCCTCATGGGCCTTTCAATATCTGGAGCAGAGGGATGGTTCACTCATCCATTCATTCTTCCATTCACTCCTCTAATAAGCATCTACCTGGTGCCTCCTGTGCGCTACCTGCTGAAGTTATCGGGTCTGTTTAGGACAGTCATGGTCCTGCCCACATGCAGCTTCCTGTGTGGTAGGGAAGCCCACACCCTACTGCTGGTCACTCTTTGTTCTGCCTGGTACCCTGCTCATTTGGGGTGAACAGGCTATGTAGCCTGTGACCCCAGACATGGAGTTGGACTCCAAACTGCGGTTCTGACCCCAGGAACAGCTTCTCTCCACCCCCAGCCAGTGGTGCCTGATGGGGTCAAAACTTTCCCCTGTGGGCTTCCCCATGTTCAGTCGTACCCAGCACATGTATCCATGCCTATGCAGTGCATCTCTCTCTGGGTGGGTGCTGATGCCCCCCTGGAACATCAGCCCTCACCATCCTGCTGTTCTTGGATGTGACACCTCAGTCTCCCATCTGGGCTCCGGCTCAGCACTGATAATTACAGGGCTGTGATGCACCTGGCCTGGGGCCTGGAGGTGCTGCCTTGTGCTCTGGGAGCCTGGGGGCTTCCGACAGGGCCTGCAGAGACCAAGTTCTCATGAAGAGGCCTGGCCTCGGTGAAAACTCAGTTAATAAACAGTGCTGTGGGCCACTGGCCTTCCTCCCCACACAATTAAAAGGCCATTTAAGCCTGCATGGCCAAGGAGGAGAGGCTCTGCACCCCCCAGGGCTATGGGTGTGACAGTGCTGACCCTGAAGCGGACAGGGCAATGAGGCCCCTTGGGTGGGAGCTCAGGGTCTCCTCTCCTCAAGCAACAGTCTAAACCTGTTAGTGTCCACCAGCTTCTGTTTCCATAGCATGTCTCTTCCCTGGTTTGGGGCACACGGATGCACCCGGACAAGGCTGGGACAGGACAGAGTCCTGGTTCTGAGGATGGAAAAGGGATGGGGGGGAAAGGGCAGCTACTTTCTTAACAATTATACGATCCCCACCCCTCAACCCAACTTCTTCCAGGGGCTGGGTGATCCCAATGACCCTCAAGTCAGTTGGTTTGGGCCTGCTCCCTGCACTGCATGCTGGGCTCTGCCTGCCCTCACCTGTGGTCCCCACAGAAACTTGTCTATGGCAGGGATGACGGGAGGTGAGTTCATGGGAATCAGAAATGCAAACGGAGTTCAGCAGAATTATCACAGAAGATTGGCTGCAAAGAGCCAGATGACATTGAGTAAGAAATATCTAGAGAAAATGCTGGTGTTATATGCTGGTTATATCTAAAAGGGTTGACCTATGGGTATTTTTACCTTCAAACTTTTATAATTAACAGGTCTTACTATTGTAACATGAAAAAAAGTAAGTACAAATGATAAAAAGATGGTCAGGCACTGTCCTGGCACAAAAGAAGAGATGCTCTAGGCCACCTGAGGAGCGGCTGCCTCTGCTAATATCTGGAGCCCACCTTCCCCAGGATCAGGATGAGCCCCTCATCTCAGGCTGCCTGGCCACATTTGGAACCCTCAGCAGATCCTGGCTCTCAGACACCTCTGGGCAGAAGGGGCCAGAGTGCAGAGGGCAAGGGCCTGCCTTTTGGTCTCAGCTCTGCCAGACACATCAGCTGGGTAAGTCCCTTCTCTTCTCGGGCTCTTAGGCCCTTCATCCATAAGATGGGGGCATGACATACTGCCCTGTCCACCTCCAGAGTCAGTTATGAGACTAGGAACTTTGAAAATGAAACCCCAAATAGGAAAACATCATGTAAGCTGTACTGCCAAGTGGGGCAGAGCACCCCTTCTGATGGTGGCCCCCTATGGTGCACCCCCATCAGTGAGCCACCACAAATACCCAGGAACCCTGGGCACAAAGTCATTTTGCTCATTAGGAGCAGGGGAGCCAGGAATCCTCCCTTGCTGAGATGCAAGACAGGCACTGAAAAGGGAAGGTACAGGCCTTTCTTGCAAAGATGCATTTTCATAATTTGAAAAAACCCTCAATGGACATCACATTTCTGCAAAGATCTATAATGCCGTTCAAGGCATCCTTGCCCCCAAATTAGTGCTTGTTTGTTAAGTGGCCCAGAGAACCCTGCCACCCACAAGCTATCACCATGCTTGAGGTCCAGCCAACTGTGTAGGTACAGGTCAGGATGTAAGGGCATAGGGAGAGACAAAGCACCAGTCTGAGTCACATGGAGGGTGTTGTGGGCACTGGCCTGGGCCCGTGGCAGGGTTCAGTTGGCAGCTGGGAGGAGGGTGAGGAGCTGTGCTGGGAGAGAGGGCAAAGGGGACTTACCTCTCCCTCGGGCCCATGTGTAGACACGAATGGTCTCAGTGCTTCTGGGCTCCTGCTCGGCTGGCTCCACCGGCAAAGGTCGGAGGTGTGGGTCATCAGCCCGGCCAGGGGTCTTCAGTGGCAAGATGTACTTGGGGAGCCCTTTGTAGAACCAGGCTCCTGACCTCTTCCAGACCTGGAGGCAGGGGACATGTGCTTGGAGGTAAGGTACAGAACTGCCTTCCCTGTACTGTGTCCCATTCCATGGATGCCCCCATGCCACTGGGGGAAAAGCTGGGAAGTGCTTGGTGCTGCACACAGCACCCAGTAATTGCTCCACAGATGCCGCCTGTATTTCTCCTGCCCACCCTGTCCCTGGGCATGGGGCAGAGTGACAAGAGGCTGGAGGAAGGGACACACTATGGTATTAGAAGCCAATTTTTGAGAGCTTCTTGGGCTGAGTGTCTGCGGCAGAGAGAGAGGGCCGTCTCAGAGAGAGCCACAGATTAGAAGTCAGAGCAGTGACTGAGATAAGGTCCCTGAACTCCTAACGTCTACTTCAGAAAACACCAAGTGCTCCGTAATCTCTTTCCTGATGAAGGGGATATTTAGGAATAAATATAGACCGGGTATTTAGGAAGAGGAGTGGGAGCATGTGAAGGAATGATGTGGCCTTCTCAGAGAAAAGCAAGCCTGGGCAGTACAGAGCAGAAGTCCTGGGCTTGAATTCTGGGGTCTGTCACCCAGCAGCTGGGAGACCTGACATCAGCCTCCCAGACCCTGTTTCATCAGGACAGACCTTGTCTCACAGGGAGGCCCTGAGGGCCAGACCTGAGCATGGACAAAAACGCTGCTGCCCAGTGCCAGGCCTGGAGCCATCACTCGACAGATGTGCTGCTCTGGAACACAGATCACCTCAGTTTTATAACCAGCAGACCAAGTTCCCTATTCAAAATGGACAAATTAAAATCAGAAGGCCAGGGTCTGCCTTCATTATCTCTAGGACAGTGTTGCCCATTCCCTAAACTTCATCTGTACCACATTAGTTCTGTGGGATGTTAATAGGGGCCAGACAAAAAAAAAAAAGGGGAGCGGGTTTCATTTATTGATTTATGTTCACTTGGGAAGCAGGAGTTCAACCAAGCACGGTTACTGCAGGACAGTCTTAATATTCAGGACGCCAGGGTTCTCCAACCAGGAGCACACACAGCGCTTCCCCAGGAACCTACCCGGAAGGCTTTCCTAGGGAAACTCAAGCTCAGCAACAGGACTGTGTGCGCTCAGCAACGGGACTGTGTGCACTCCGCACTTAACTGCAGCGTGGACTGTTCATGCGTTGATCAAGGCGCATCTGTTTCTCCAAGGCTACCTCTTTATACTCCAGTGTGCCAGGCAAAGGGCCACTGAGCCCAAGCCCTGCCCTTGGCATGAATCAAGCCTCCCTCCCCCAGGTACCCTGTGTGGGAAGGGCCTGCTGTTTGTGATTCTTGAAAAATGCAGCACCTATCTGGTGGGAAGGATCCTTTGAGAAGCCCCCTTTGGGAAAACCCCCTATAATCCTCATACCCCCCCCTTTATATATATGTATATATACACACACACACACATATATACACAAATGTGTATATATATACACATACATACACACGCATATATATATACACAAATGTGTATATATATGTGTATACACACACACACACACACACATACATATATATTGGTCTAAACTTCACAAAAGTACATTTTTTTTGCAAAAGCAACAAGTCTTCTCCCCCATTCCCAGAGATGTGTGGTGACATTCTCTGAGGAAGCTTTGTTACTATTTGCACCTTTCAGAGGGAAAACTGAAGTTCTGATAAGTCAAGCACCTTGCCCAAGGTTACCCCACCATGGGCTGGCCTCTACTCCACAATGGAGTCCCAGTTTACAGATGCAAAACAGATGCTCAGTCATGGTGGCTGAATGGTGAGCAAACCCTTAGTGGGTCAGACCCCATTACAGTGGATGGGACATCTAGAGGGGCAGGAAACGCCACACAGGGAGAGGAAATAAACTTGGCAGGGGCACCAAGACCCCCAAGTCCCTGCAGAGCTCCTGAGGAAAGGTGCCCAGGAAGCCACAGGAGAGGACAAGGACAGGCACTCACTTGGCCTCCCTCTGCTAAGCAAAGCCCCGAGCATCCAATATGCCGGCTATGCCTGCCCTTCCCTGAGCACACCAGCCCTCTGCTCCCCAACAGGGTTGGGTCTCAGGGGAGCCAAATGCAGTAAGCTCTCAAGGGCCATCTGTGAACAGTGGAGCCCAGGTGGGCTTAGGCCCTGCACCACACCCTTCTTCAGCCTTTTTTTCCCTCCTTCGGAGAAGAGAAATATATACAGAGCATAGAAAACTAGACAATAAAAGTAAAACGTAGAACTACAGGTAATCATACTATATAGGTTACCACAAAGAACAAGCCCTGCTCAAACTATGCTGTGAATTTTCTAATGCTGTTTCCTATATGTATATTTTCTTTTTTTTTAAAGAAGAATAGGATCATGTGGATGCAACCTGCTTTTGCCCCTACTTAGTGCTATATCATGGCAGCTGTTCCGTGTTAATAAGTAATGGACTCCACCATCATTTTTTAATGGCTCCATGGTTTGGATTTATTGAACTTAATTAAACCAGCTCCCCACTGCTGGACATTTAAATTGTTTCCAATTTTTCACTCTTGTGAGCAGTGCTGCACCATCATCTCTGCACACACATCATCTGACGGGTGCTGAGATTGCCTTCAGAAGTATTCCGAGGAGCAGAACTGCTGGGTCAAAGAGTGACATGCATATGGTCAGACTGCCCTCCAGGAAGAAAGACTGAGCCCCAGTGCTAAGCATCCTCAAGGTGGGGACCTCACACTATGCTTCCTGTTGGGATTGGGGTCTGGCCTGGGGATCCTGTTCAGGAGCAGTTCCATGTTGTGGTGGGCTTGGGAGAGGCACCTACCAGGCCCCAAGGTCACGAGAGGTAGGAGCTGCAGGAGGGGACTGGGGGCCCTGCTGCCCCTCTTGGGACACAACTTCGTGGGTGGTCAGTCTAGGGTCTGTTGAATGGGAGTGGACGTCACGGCCCTGAAGCTGACTCAGTCACGTGGCTTTGGTGGGAGAGGACAAGAAATGCTCCTGAGCTGTGTGTGGGGTTCCATAGCACCAAGCACATGTTTGGGACTCGCTGAGATCTCACCTTGAGGTCTCTCGTGCTGTTCCTGCAGAGCTGGGATCATTGCTCTGGCCTATCACTAGGCATGTTCTTTTCTTTCATTTAATTAAAAGTTTTCAATTGTGGTACAATACAACACACAATTGACCATCTTACCCATTTCTTAAGTGTATAGTGCAGCAGCATATAATATGGTCACACTGATGTGCAATCTCCAGAACTCTCTTTATCTTGCAAAATGGAAACTTATAACCATTGAATAACTCCTCCCTCCCCTGCCCGTGGTGACTATTCTACATGTCTGTGATGGTGACTGCCCTGGACACCTTATATGAATGGACTCCCACAGTGTCTTTTTGACATACATACAGTATTTGACATTTAGCAGGCCCTGCAGTCAACATTGTTTTGTTATAATGTTGAGGTTAAAAAAAAAATCCCAGGGCCTCCCTGGTGGCGCAAGGGGTTAAGACGCAACCTATGAAGCAATTTGGCAACCACTGCAGCACGAGTTCGACTTTCTAGTCAGGGAGCAACCAAACATGGTGCAGCAGATCTCTCCTGACTCGCCCGCTGCTCCCCTCAGCAGTGTACTTCAGTCAATCTGCCTGTTCCGTTCCCCACTCTGTCTCTGGTGAATCCTCTCACGCCCCCCACACCCCTGGCCTGTACCCCAGCTCTTGTATGCATAAATAAATAAATCTTTAAAAAAAATCCCAGGGCTTCCCTGGTGGTGCAAGGTGTTAAATCTCAGCACTAACAAGTTATCACCACCCACCGTAGCATGAGTTCAATCCCCGGCCAGACCTTTCCTGTCTCGCCTGTTGCTCCCCTCAGCAGTGTATTTCAGTAGATTTGCCTGCTCTGCTTTCCACTCTGTCTTTGGTGAATCCTCTCACCCCCACACCTCTGGCCTACACCCTGTTCTTGTATGCATAAATAAATAAAATAGATCTTTAAAAAAAAAATCCCAGCTGACAATGGACTAAACAACTTTAAGGACCTGCTCTCATGTCTTGGTTTGCATAAAATCAAAATTTCCATGAATCTACTGATCTATTAACTAGGACTTACTATACAAACAGTATTCGGTATATTTCACTTATTGTAGCATAATGTCCTCATGGTTCATCCATGTTGCGACATAGGTCAGATTTTCCTTTATTTTTTTTAAAGATTTATTTTTATTTATTTATACAAGCACTGGGTACAGTCAGAAGTGCGGGAGGGTGAGAGAATTCACCAGAGCCAGAGCAGGGAGCAGAGCAGGCAGAAGGACTGAAGTACACTGCTGAGGGGAGCAGCGGGCTGCAGGAGAGGTCTGCGCGCCATGTGGGACCCTCCTCCGGTGGCCATGGAGCAGCTGGGGATTGAACCAGCGCTGCCGAGGCTGCGGGCAGCTTCGCAACCCAGTGCTCAACCGCTGTGCCACCGGGGAGGCCCAGATTTTCCTTTTTGAGGCTGGATAAAACCCCACAGTCTATAGCTCTTGCATTTTATCATACACTTGTCCATCAATGAACACTTGGGTTTGACAACCTTTTGGTTGGTCATTTCATTTTTATCTGTGTCCCACTAGGCTCTGCCATCCAGGATGGAGGGTCAGGGCACTTTTGCTCAATACTGAAGCTCCTAGCACATGCCTGGCACATTGTAGGTACTCAAGAAATACTGGTTAGATGAATGAATTGGCAGCTATGGTTGTTTGCTGGAACCTGTCCTACTCTATGGTCTGTTGCCTTCTTAGGAGAGTGGCCTGGGGTTTCACTCAAGTTCTTGTGATTAATCAAAAGGACTTACTGTTTCAGATTAAAGAGGGATAAAGAGGAGGTGCCTAGCAGGGCTTGCAGTGGAGAACAAGCTCCAGTGAACCTTCTTGACTGTGAACTCCAGTGCACAAGGCAGCCGCCTGCTCCAGCCCTAACTCGAGTACCAGCAAGACCCACAGCCCCAGATGCATCCCCTGGCATCACGGTAGCCATCACGGTAGGGAGGTGT